CGTAATAACCTCGTATTATTAAACATCTAGCACTGAAAACAATTTGTCGTTCTGTAAAAGGCTGTATCAGCATGCGTTCCAAAACATATCAGCACTCATTTGAAAGTTTTCCCCTTATATAGGGTGAACATTACATGTATATGGTCATCAATATCAGACTCATTCCAGATTATTGACATCACATTCAAACACATTCCTTTGTTTACATTGGACACAGAATAACTATAGTGCCCGATGGAAATCCAGTCACTGACATGTTCACACAGCACAAAATGTATTTTTGTTGTCACTCCAGCCTATGATCTCTCATTAATTAATTACTACAAAGCGAAAAAAGATGCATACTAATGAGGTTATCATGAAAATTGTGCCAAGTATGCACTCAGACAGTACGGGTTGCATCAACATCCACTACGTGTTAGTCGATACGATCACCATACTGTCTTTGAGCGTACTTTGCAGTATAGTTGAAATATTAATTTCTAAGAAATATTATTGTTATTTATACAAATTATTTATGCTTTTCATGTGGTAACCTCCTACCCTACTGTAGAATACTTTATTTTAGCTGGAATTAATTTTCGCTGAAAAGACATTTTAGGTATTTTGTACGGAATTTATTTTCACTGATTTTTGACAAGTTGAATGTAAAATATAGGAAAAAAGGTATATTCTCTGGATTTTATTTCACTGAATCATTTCTTCAGCGAAAATTAATTCCAAGCGAAAATAAAGTATTTTACAGTATTTACACTGGGCAAACAGCATGTATATGTATGCTATATTTGAATGAACTAACAAGGTACTTATTCAGGAATATGCATTGTTTTTTTTTTCTTTAAACATGAAAGTCAACTGTTGTCACATCTCAAATTATAAATATTTTATTTTTCAAAAGTTTTGGATAAGACTTCAATAGCTAATAGAAAATTATGTTTTTTTGGTCCAATAATTAATAAATTAAAATTAAAAATACAAAATATTGCACTAAAATTGTGGAAAAAATGCATTCATTATTCTCTAGTTCTAAATTTTCATTATTTTTACCAATAAGTAAAATTGCGAAACAGTTAAAGCTGCGTTGATGTTGAAACTGACTTCTAATCAATTGGTACAAAGCCATCAGATTTGACATTGATGACCAATACAATTTTGTGTTATTGTCAAGCCAAGCATTGATGAGCAGGCACACATCTGAATCTAGTCTTTTAGTCGCCAACATCATTGCGGTAATTAATCATTGAGACTTGGGGTAAGGAACCAGACTATCAGGGAAATAGCAAAAAAACGCCAATAGAGGGCGTTGTTTCAAATACCTGATGGGATTTCTTCCAGTACAGCATCACAGACATTCAGTTTAAGTAAAAAAGCTCTCAATGACTGTTCCAGTCGCAGTAAATAATTATCATTGCTGTAAAAAAAACACACAATATGAGGTTATCCAATAAATTTATACCAAATGAAAATATAAACGTATTATCTATGAAGCAAAATTTCAAGTCAATTTTCATTAGAATTGAGTGTAGTGAAAGCAACAAGGGTAAGCAAGTTTTATAACTTTTGTTAGAATGCAAATATTGATATGCAAGTTATTTTACATCATTTTGTATGATGTTGGATGGTCGGACACGGAGACCTATAAAGGGAGCCCAAAACATAAGTCGTCTTTCAGACTAGGTACAAGAGTGGCTAAAAAACTGAGAGAAATCCTAAGCCTATATGTAATCCTAAACACACAGTCTTGCTCATTCAAACTTGATATTATTTGCTGAAGTGTGTGTTTGTCTTGATTAGTGGATCTTTTAGTGCAGCCACCAGTTGCATGCACTTATTAACTTGATCTGAAATCAAATCAGTGACAGACAGATATGTGAAACCATGTAATACACACTAATTAAGTAACAAGTACCAGGAGGCTATGTATTCTCAGTGAACCTTGCAGAAAAACGGTCACAGAGGACCCTTTATAAGAATTCCAAATATAATTAGATCTCTTATACCAGGTGCCAGGACTAACATAGTACTTGTTTCACATTTTGTACTGTTTACATCTATACTATACGTTGTATAGTGTTGGTGTTTGTTATGTATTTAATATGGGACTTTTTTGGCCTGAAATAAAGGATTAATAATAATAATATATCAAAGTGAATTTTGGTTTCTAAGCTGATAAGCGGGTCCAATTGGACAATGTTAGCCATAAGTAAGGAGGGGGGGGACAACCACATTCCATGTTATTCCACTAAATGGAATGCCATTCAACACAATGCATTCTCCAAATTTGGCATGCTGGAATCCGGCCATCCCCATGCTCTGCAGACACTCTCACCGTATACACTAGGGCTAAAAAATTTAAAATGTTGGGTAGTCCATCACTGGTTTTGTACTTGAAACCATATACACAATAGACAAGTTTCGAGTTTAGAACTTTAAGTCGGTTTTTGCGTGAGAATATGGGGTTAATCTCTAGTTCATGGAATTTATTCGCTGGATTCCTTGACTCCCGGTGTACTGATGAGCTATCAAATGTTTACATGGTGAAATATAACCCCCTCCCACATACACACCGACAACTTTTTGACACACGCAAGTTTCTAAGGTAACAGCAAAACTTAAGACAAGTCTATTGTGAAATATAACTAAATCACTTTGTCATTTTGGGATACCATTGGGGACATTTTCAATAATTTGAAAATTTCTAGTAGTCCGGCTCAGCTACTGTTTTTGGAAAATGGTAGCCCGAGTATATGAATTGGTAACTTCTGTTAATTTCAATGCTACACATTCAATATATATAATGTACACCTTGACAATGACTGTACCATACCTGAGTGACCGTGCAATAACTGGTGCAATTTCAAATACAAATCTCTCCACAGGTTGGTGACTGCTGTTAAGAACAGCTAAGACCACTCGATGAAGTTCATCCTAATTTAAAAAACAACAACAAAAGTATAAATATTCTACTACATATTTTACATGAGGCACATACAGATTTCTCTTTTATCAAGGCAATTGCCGTCAATGTCTGTAATTGTTTTTGAGATTAAAGCGGGGAAGTCGTCACCTGCGCATGCGTCAGATGGCCATAGTGTGTCATTGTTTACAAACAAGCGTCTGCCCATGAGCCTTTGCATTTTTATTGTGTGGTGTTATCGTCGCCTGCGACTCAATTCTCGCGCGTACATAGGTGACGACCCTCCCGCTTTAAATATATATATCAGCTGAGTGGTATAATAAAAGTAAATACAGTCTAAATATGGGAGTTTGTTAACAAACATTTGCTTTCCACACAAACGAGAAATTTTTGTAATTTTATGGAATTAATGAACTTTTTGCAAAAATTGCTGACACTACATATCAACTTTGTAACAATGGAGCTATTGGCAATGAAATCCATGCACTTTTAGACTGTAACCATACTGGAATAACAAATGCTCGTACTGAATTTCTGAATGTAGTTAGCATTTATAATGAAAGTATCCTTAAACTATCAAAACAACAAATGTTTACAAAAATTTTAAGTTCGAGAGATGGGTTCATTGCCAATAGTGCTAGCAAATTTATTGACAGCATACTATTTTACTATAAGTAATTTTACTTAGACTTTAGTTATTTATGTATTTTCTTTGTCTCGTGTGTGTACTTGTGTTTTATTATATTTAATGTCTTTTGACCACAGATAATGTAACAAAATATATTATTTAGTGTCAAATAAAATATACTATACTACTATACTATACTATCATAGGACCCTAAAGGAATTGCAACTACTATGTAGTTTCACAATTTACATGGACTCAAAGTGAAAATTTTTCTTTCCCAAAATTTAAGCGGAAATCAGGCTTCCTGATCAGCAAGGATTAATAAGTTAATGGTATTCAACTATGATATCTGTATAAGAGATTATGATTTCAAGATTTATGTCGGTATGTCTAGTACATCTCAACACACAGCAAATATTTGGAAATGTTCAATTGCAAATGAGCAAAACTACTAGAAACAGCCCAGGATAAACACCAAACAATTACGTCAGAAACTTTAGTGTAAAAACGTTTCAATTTTGTCTATGTAAGAGAGTTATTATGCAGCTTAAATGTGACTATAGTGCATGAGCTAGAAATCAACCCCCTATTCTCGTACAGAAACTGACTGATGGTGCTATGACTTGAAACTAATCTATTCACATGAAGATTTCACTGATTATCACATGGCTTGCATACCCACATAATCCTGGATTGAGAGGTTTTTCTAGAAAAAAACTGCAAGAGGGAGCACTGCAATTCAGCGGCACCAGCAACTGGAGGAGATTGGGTTCTCTCTACCAGGGTGTGGAGTTTTTGATAAGTTAAAATGGAGCATTCTATGGCTTCCTTGAGGCCAAAATTACTATCAGACAGGTCACAGTTGAAGACTGTGGCCACATGTGATCCCTGGTCAATCAGAGTTTTATGGTTGCTAGAGGTTCCGCTTCCCAGGGTATGCATGGCCATGACATGAGGGCGCTGTGCCCCTGTTCCCTTGTTTAAAAAAATCCCTGCTTGATTGGTTATTACATGTATAGAATAAAGAAGACCATCTTTGGATGATGGTACAGTGGCCAGTGTGTTTGCCCTGCACCTTGCAGCGAGGTTCCAAGATCTATTCTCAGAGCTGACTGTTCACTCAGCTCTGCCTTCCAAACATGCGGTTTCAGATTTGGAAAATTGGTTTGGAAGACATAGACTTCAAATTACCACGACAAAAACACACAGACAGGGACTGGCAGTGTGAGGTAGGAACACCTTTTTTATTAACTGGTGACCTGCGAAAAAGGCCATATTGACAACATATCGATAACATATTGATAACAATTCAAATTGAACAAGAACAGTCATCAACATAAACAATTTTAAAATACACAAGTATCACATGAATGGTTGTCAGAAAGGCAAAATACAGTAATCATTCGTGCTTGGGTGGGTGGGTATTGACGATGAATTTTAGTTCTGCTATGAATAGTATGCCTCTGGCTGAACTGATTTGACAGATTTGCACCCGGGACCAATAAACAAAGTGACTGATAATTAGTCCATTTGAGGGCGCTATAATGTACAAAATTAGCACCTAAAACAAAAAAGTCATGAGAGATAGCATTGACTTCAATGTCTGAAAATGTCACCTAGTTGGCACAAAAATATTTAAAAAACAAACAAAACAAACCACCTAACTAACCTTGACTATTAAAGGTTTGACACTCTGTAACACATTTGTGATGTACTGGTTCACTTCAGGATGACAAGACATCTACAGACAAATATATAAGTCATAAATTATGAGGCTATACCGAAAAGCAGACCAATTTATATAATATTTATAATATTAATAGTGCACAATATTAATAATATTAATAGTGCCCAGTATTAATATTATTAATAGTGCACAATAACTTATAATTACCTCAAAATCATACAAGATTTGAAAATAATACGACAACAAACTGTGCGGTTCTGATAACATGCATTCAAAAACAAGTAGGTTAGATCGCATTTAAATTTTATTTATTTATTTTTCTCTAATTGGACTTAATTTCATTTGACTTAGCTTGCTGAATAAGTCCCATGTTTTTTGATTACAGTAAAATTCCAATTTGGTGAAAATTCTGGACAAGAAAGACAGTTTCATTTGTCTCTTTAAAATCTTGTGTGATTTTGCATAATTTGGTCAAAAAGTTTAGGGTAGGCAATGAATTTTAGGTAGGGTTAGGTTATTGACAGCAAACACATTTTGCTACTTGGCCTGAATAACAATGACGTAAGTGAGAATGATTTGCATATTGAATGTTGCCCTCAGACGTTCAACTAGTCAGCTGTTTTGGACATGAATCTTTAATTTTGTGTGATTTCTTTTCTTTTCTATGGCTGTTCAAAATCCTGATTCTATAAAATAATTTTATATTTATAAAAACAAAACTGTTTAATGTTAAATAAATTTACCTGCACAGGCACATTGTACTTCTTACGTCGTTCAAATATTCCCGGTGGATATAGCTCTCTTATATAAAGGATGAGATGGAAAGCAACCTCTAAGAATTCACACAATATATCAGCACATACTACGGAAATAACAGAGTATACAGAAAGTTTATTAAACAGGAGCAAAGGTCTGGCTTTTGTCACTTCGTACATGAAATTTGAGATCTATGAATGAATTCTGGCGATAAAAACAACTTTTATGTGCTGCAAAATGTTGTATCATCACTGATTGGCTGTTTCCATGACTTCAGTACATTACCATGGGAACTCATATACGCAGTCTGACCTGTATGTAAGGCCCACCCACAGCCCTGTAGACTGATTCACTATTAGTAGTCTATTATGTTTTGTAGAAGTCTCACAATAATATACAGCATCAAGTCTAGTAAACTAGAACCTAGTTAAACCTGTGTTAGTAACACAGTGTTAGTGACCACCTCTATATAAACACCCCCTGGCAATAGTGATCACTTTTAGTCCAATTGAGGCATAAATTACAGGCCTCTAGATAGAGAGCATTTTGGTTGCCATGGCTTTTAAATTAAATCAAAATCTGAACAAAATCATACTGGAGACAACAAAAATTTCAAAACCTTTCTGGGAAGCTTCGACGGGTGCCAACATTTTTTGTGAGGCTCTGTACCCCATCCAGCACACATGAAAATATAAATTCAACGTTCCTATCCACAGGCGCTCTGGACGTTTCTTGGATAATAAAAAAACATATAATAATATGATATAATATATAATATGAGTGGTCGACGAAAGTATCGCTGACTGACTAAGTATGCCTTCCTTACTTTATGTCCTTTTTATTATCAAAGAAACGTTCCGGACGCCTGTGTTCCAATCCACCAACATCCTGCGAGGGGGCAAAACAACTCACATATTACGAGCACAAAAATATATGTTTTCATTAGCATTACATTTGTCATGTTTGTGAAACCATAGACTCCACGAACGGTAATGCGAGTATGACCATCCGCCGCTATGTGTGAACAATACAAATAAGTCAAGCCTTGGTAAACACTATAATTTCATATTTCAAAACATTGCAGACAGCTTTTCTAAAAAAAAAATCAACGTACCTTGCGTTACGTTGATACCATGTGATTCATTGGAAGCCATTTCATTCTCTTGGTCCAAAACTTGTTGTAATTGACGATCTTGAATTCTTCGGAAGCAATTTAACAACGAGTGTAGATTGTCTGAACGGGAGACGAAACAGCGTTTCTCTACTGCAAGAACGTAGCCATTTTGAAATCGTGGCCAACTCCATATATTACATCATTTCTGATTCGCTAAAAATACGACCAAATAACTTTTAGACCAATGAATTGGCTCATTACAAAGAGCTTAAGGTTGTGTAAACGCTTATTCACCACGCATGCTCAGACCAATTGAATACAAAGTGAGTACAATGGTTTGTTCATGTTTAGTTCGACTTTTGAAATGGGCAATAGTTATAGCAATAGCTACTTTCGCGATACAGTTCTGGTTAGAAACAAAGACGTATTTATTCGACGATGCAAGTATCGCGAAAATTGCTGAGAAATATGTTGGTAAGTCGTCGCAACATTTTGAAGCAAGTTATTTATATGAAATGATCACTTACCGAGGCCGCAGTTGGAATTGATTATTATAATCGCACGGTCGTTCTTCTGACCCTTAATCGACTGTGTGCAACGACTATTTCTTCTACCAAAACATTATCTTCGACGCCGAGAATGTGAATGTCGAACCCAGCTTGCCGCTATGCCAGACATATGTCAATGGGCGTGGCTGTTTGTGGAGTCAGCTGTTCTGTGTTGGACCATGATTCATTGAATGATAAGGAAAAGGGGAACAATACAAAAACAATTTAATTTGTCTGTGCTTATGTGTACACTGTTTAAGTTCACCTGTATTACAGTTGAAATATGTTTTTCCAAATTTTTTGAGTGGTCATGTATACCAAAAGTTAATGCAAGTATTACAGACTGGAAAGAACTAAGGGGTTGACCATTATACACTCTGGGCGGGGGGTAAATTTCGAAAATGAAATCTTCACAGCCATAAATCATGAAAACTTCACATATTGACAAAACTTTATAAAAAACAATCTTGCACATTTTATACAGGGAATGGAAAATAACTTCACACAATCATTATCATGGGAAGGAAATCTTAGCTAAGAATTAAGTGAAGGCACTGGCATTTTCCTGGGAAAATATCCGGAAAGATTTCCTTTTGTACCCCCCATCCCTAACCCTAACCCTAAACATACTCCCAGTTACCCAATTCATTTGTATATGCCCCCTCTAGATAACTATAGATGTTCTTAGGAGGGGCATGTACAATTAAATGGGGAGTGCTGGAGGGTAGGGTTAGAGTTAGGGATGGGGATGGGGAGTACAAAAGGAACTCTTTCCAAAGTTACACTTATAACATTTATCCTGCCAACAGGTTTACCACATGAAGAAGCCTTCGCTAAAATTACCCCAGTCTTGAGAGATAAATATGGATCAGAACATTTTTTACAAGATGATGACATGCAGTGGATATTTGTGAATGCTGGTGGATGGATGGGCTCCATGTGCTTACTTCATGCATCACTCACTGAATATGTGTTATTCTTTGGTACTGCAGTAGACACAGTTGGACACTCAGGTAAGAACAGATATTTCTTTATTACAACCATGAAGAAACATTTATAATTTGATAACTGTTATTATTGATCAAGATATTAATAATACAAATAATTTCAGGGATTTTTTTTCATTTTTTTCATTTTTAATGATTTTCAAAAAAAACATTAAGTCTTCTAAACAAGTATAATCCTAATGTACTTTGTTTTGACTTTTTGACTAAATTTTGTATGTGGGCTATGTTTCTGTAACTAGGATGCACAAATTTCACACGTCATTTTTGCCACTACATGCATGTTGCACAGCAACTTAAATAATTAACAGTCATCACAGGGATAGAGGGACTGTGCTTTAATCAGGCTATTAGCCAGGATTTTTGCAACTGCCAATCCAAAACAGTTCAACTTCATGAAAATGTAGAAGGTTTTCGATATATTTTGGTAAAATTATCAAAGAAGAATAGGAAAAAAACAAAAATAATGGGAAAAAGTTGCCAGTTCAAAATAAAAGTTGCCAGTTTCTTTGGTGGATGGACTGGTGGCTAGGCTAGGCTAACACCCTGGCTTTAATCCATAACAGTTTATTACTTTATGTTGGCTAGGCCAAATAAAATAATTATTTCCAGTCAGTATGCACAACAGTTCAAAGGGCCTCTTCACAACTTAATTTTCTGGTTTCACCAAAAATATTGTAAAAATGTCAGAAAAAAAGTGCTTATTCCTGAACATCTCAGGTTCAAAAACAATTTTTGTATTTCTATATTGATAGTTTTTCTTTTAGAAAAATAGGTGCAATTTATTTCTTGTTTCTGTATATGTACATGTTTACAAGTTTACACGATGTATTTAAATGAATCTCACTTCTCAAATTGTATTACATTCCATGGATTAATTAGGTATGATTTGAGACAAATCTCGTAAGCAGTCAATTTAAACCATTATCGTAGAATTACTGATTAAAATTTAAATTCAAAGTCTTCTGATTCTGTTTATGGAATATTGGTAAAATATCACAACATGCTATATTTAACATAATTATTCTGGTATATTTTGCTGGTATATTATTTCCCTAAGTTTGGCTCACCTTTCACATGTTTTATTTGAATACATTCTATTCAGTTTCTAATTTTATCATTTCATTACTAAAATGTTGGTAGTTTATTAATGTTTTGATGGTCATATCGCTGCATCATTGGTGTTGTGTTTGAGGCATGTATAAATGCAGTGATATATTATATATATACCGTAGTGATATATTATATATATACCGTAGTGATATATTATAAACTTACTTGATAATTATGAGCATGCACGCAAAACAGCATGGTCCCTCAGTATGTTAAAGCGCGGTAGTCGTCGCGAAGCGCATGTGTGACATTTGTGTTGATAAACATTGATTTTCCCACAATCCAATGCGCTCTTCTAATAATGGAAACCACAAGTATGGGGTTTGACCTGGGCATGACTGGCAATAATGACCGCCGGTGACTCCTTTGATACCTTCCAATCACCTAAAAAATACCTAATTAAAGCTTGGTTACGTCTCAGTTTGTACGCGTTGATCTGCGCAACAGCCAATGTCGTCTTCTTAGTTTATATGGGACCATGGAAGGTACTAACGGAAGGAGCCACGACACCACTCAAGTGGCCAGTTAAGCTTATTAACAGGCTTATTTTCTTTTGTTTCAACCCAAGTTAATCCTGATTAGGACATTGTCTAGCTCATCTTTGATGTCGATGATAGTTTGCGATTGTTTACACAAGTAACGAGTTAGCGGAATATGATACAACCTCGCCGATTTTTAAATGTGACCATAAAATATATGCGCATCATGAAACTACGGTCATCATACATGCGCACTCGGTTGGTTTAGGTGTGAAAGGTCAAAATACGTATTTCACAACCGGAAATTCAACAGATTAACGTTTGACTTCACAGATTTCACATGTTTTAGTTATTAGCAACTGTAACAAG